TTTGGAGAGGTGAAGGCTTTAATTATATTAAAAATACCTCCTCAGCTCTTCAGAGAGTTACTGATTTTGGAGGACTAGTTTCTGTTTGCATATGTCCACAGGAAAAAAGAGTGATGTTGTCCTGAGTTTACTGTTCCTCCACTCATAAAAGCGAGAGTGCAGGTATGGTTCTTATTTGTGTTTTATGTTGGGACACAGTAGATAAGGGACATGATTAACATTTTATGAGTGACTCTTTATGGCAGACATAAAATTTTAATATGTTATATTTTTCAGCTGTTGGGCTCTAGTAACCTTCTGTTTAGACTTAATTTGCTTGGGGTGGGAGTGTGCAAGGAAATTGATCCATTTCAGTTGACTTTCTCTAACAATGGGACTGATGGATGCCTTTAAAATGAGAACAATTGTAAATACTCTGGTCTGTATATAAAGAATTAATACATAAAGGCTTCTGGTAGAAAGGCCAGTGTCAGTGCTTGATTTCTGGAGTGATGTACACAAGAATACCATGTTCAGTAAAAACTCCTGAGCAGTTTATAAGAGTTATTGAAGGTCTTAAAAAAACCCCACCCAAACACAACAAAACCAAACATCATTTTAGCAATTGCATTTACATTAAAGGAAAGGGAAGGAAAAGGCCGTACGTACATAAAAACGCTAGAGGGAGCAAGGAAGAAGAAGAGGGGAAAACCACTGAAGATGTTTGCACTTTTAGAAATAGCTTTTATAAAGCATCCATTTAAACGCTTCTGCTTACTTCAGCTAAAATGCAGCTACAGGTCAGCCACTGCATCTTGCTGCTCTCTGTTCTCCCACACTTCACTGGAGAAATTTCAATTTTCTAGTCCTGAGAGAGGCCTGAAGCTTTGCTGCTTTTTAAATGGCCATAAGAAAAACCACCTGCCCCTCCATAGACTGTACCCATTTTTTTTGCCTTATTTTCTATTTGAATGAGCAGCCAAATGTTAATTTGCCTTTCAGTGCTGGTGGCTGTTTTGGGGGGACTGATATATAGGCTCGGTTCTCAGCTTGTCTCCCTCCGAGATTATATGGGGTAGAATGAGAGAAAGTGGGAGTGTTGGTGTATGTCTGTATTGGGGATCTATTAGATGAAGAGGAATTTATTTGCATTATTTTGGAGTGGCCACACTGCTCTTGAAGAGATCTGAGGAAAAGGAGTATCTGCGAACTTGTAGAATAACGCAGAAGCACGAAGTTACTGTAAAGTCTCTCATCTTACGAGGTTTTAGAAGTGTTGTTGGGCAGACTTTTTATACTGCTTTGTCATAAAGCTAAATGCCTTGAGTTAAAGTGTAACAATTTTACACTGTAGATTATATAAGTTATTTGTTTTTAATTCCTCTCCACCCCAATAAACTGCCATAATGTTGATATCCTGGTATGTGTAAGAATAGAATTAAATGCTGTGGGGGATGTTCTCTAGTTTTCAGGTTTTGGAGGGTGGGGGAATCTTTTTAGTATTCTGAAGGTTCTCCTCTTGATATTCAGCATTACACAGCTAAACCTGTTGCTGCGGAGAACTGAATTTTGATGGCCTGGGGCCTTGGCACTGAGCAATTTGGGGGGAAGGAAGGACGTTGTTATTATTATTAGAGGCTGCTTAGGGCTTTGGAATGCTGGAAGTAATCTCAGAGGAGGTAGACAGACTGACAGTGGATGAATAGATAAGCAGAATTAATACATATACATTGTGTGTTTATCATCTGCTGCTGTAATTTATTGCTACCACACTCATTGTTGATGTTCCCTAATTTCTCTTTTCCACTTTAGAAAATAAATGGAAAGGGCAGGAATAATGGACTGGGGTTTTCTTCTTTTGCTATTTATTAGATGGAATGATTTTAAGTTATGAAAGCAAGGACAAACATTTCTCAGAAGTAATCTAACCATGCCTTAGCCTGAGGACTCTGCTCACTTTAAAGGAAACAAATATAATGAAATTTGAATATGTGGAAGCTGGAGTCCTTTAGCAGTGCACAGAGGTGTTTTTTTCAGTGTACTTTGAGACTATAAAGATTTGTTGTCTATTTATAATTACATCATTCTAGATTCAAGATAGCTACAAATTAAGAATGGAAGAAAACATATTTTTGGAAATATTTAATAACTTCTCAGCAACAAAACCCCCCCAACAAACAGATAAGAGCACCAAGTAATTATGGCTTAATTGTTCTTGAATGGTTCAGGGCCTTTTCCTGTCATTTGGAAATTAACTCCACTTAAGATGAAACAGAGTATTGGAATAGCAGAGAATCTTTTTTTCCCCCTGCCCCTTTAGCTACCCTGCTTTGCACTGTTTCTTCTGCTGCAATGCAGGGATGCAGGCAGGTGGGTTTCTTGCTCTTCTGGTGTATAGAGGGCTCCTATTAAAGCCCTAAAGTATTTCCTCAGGTAGAAGATGGGCAGAGTTGAACCATAATTGAGTGCATATTCAATTTATTCCTCAGAATCAGGAAAACAGGCACATTCAGTCTGAAACAGAGGATAGTAATTTTGTAGATAAATTTCTTATGCTTCCAAAGGGCCAGGATACTCAAAATAGTCCATGGATACTTAATTGAACTCAGTGATACACAGATTATCCCCAGGGGGGCCCTTAATGTGCAACTAAAACAACTTTCTGTGATATTTCCATCTTTTTTTGTGATTATTCAACTGCAGGGTAGCACCCACCAAAGTTGAACTCCACGGGGCAACAAAAGGGTGTCTTTTTGCCTGTTGAAGTGATGGTGGATTCACAATGGAAAAGATATAATTTCCCACTGGAGGGTTAGAGGGAAAACAGGTAATCCCTTAAAAACACACAGTGGAAGTACTGGTGTACTTAGGTTGTTGTGTTGCCTTAGGAAAAGCTGGTACCTTCAGTAGTAGCCCAAGGGCAGAGTGTTTATCATTTGACTTTCACTGCGATGTTTACGCAAGGGCTATGGTATCCGATTAAAAAAAAAGGGCCAGCCCCACAGTGGGTGTAAGGTACCACAAGGCACCCCTTCTCTCTCCCCACCCAGCTAGGGCAGAGCAGGGCACCCACGAAAGGATGCCCAGCACCAATTTTTCTCCCCAAGTCCTTCATGTCATGAAACGTCAGTGTGTGCAGGTTGTTCACATGCCCACTAAGCCGCGTGGGGAAAAATGCTGCTTAAAAGGGCAGCTTATCCTGTTCTGAGCTTGGCATTCACAGCATCCCTCACCGAGCTCTCTCTGGAGGTGGTCCGGTCGGGGTGGTTAACTTGAAGCCTTTAATTCGGTGCTGGAAGAATGTTTCACCAGGGGTTTTAAGCAGATATTGCCACTTGGTATCACTTGTTGCAGTGCTTTGGGTACACTTATTAATGCCTGTTCCGAGCGCTGCTCAGGGCGGTCTGAAAACAGGGGGCTGCTGTATCGTCGTGATCTGTTAGGTAAAGGATAAGCACAAATGGTGACGTGCTTTACAGATAAGTTGAGATCACAAATCTGCAGATCTGAGGTTGGCTCAGCACCTCCTGTGCAAACGCAGGAGCAAGTGCAGGGCGGTTAAGGGAGCAGGAATGGCTTCTGCCCGTCTGAGCCTGGGAGGGACAGCAAGTTGCTCTTCAAAGGGAGGATTTGGGATACTCCTTTTTGCTTCAGTTAGGAGCTCGGATTGCAAGCAAAGGATGTTAGCCCTTTAAAAGGTGTCTGTTTCATCTGTATTCCTCAGAAATGAGGATTCTCATGCTTTTTTCGTTGCCTTTAATGTAGGCTGTGAATAGCTACTGCAGGTGAGCCCTAAATCAAGATCTGATGCAACAGCAGTGCTGGTATGCAGCGGGGGCTGAGATCAGCTCCCCAGACAAATGTAGCATACAGAACTATTTTTAATAATGTAGGACTTTGGCTAGGCTTTGCCTGGAGGAAGAAGGGATGGGAGGTGAAATCTCCCCCCTCGAGCTGGTGAGCTCAGCTGAAATACATGCTGGGCTTTCATCCCTGCTGGGACTTGGCCAAGATTCAGATGAGGGTAGGTTTTAAATCCCACCTTGCAGTGCCCATGGTGCCTGGTGAAGCATCCTCCTTTCCCTGCTCTCAAGGCCTGTTAGACAGCTGGGAGCAGGGAGGAAAGCACACATTTCCTTTGGGAATGTGTGGCGCTTGCTGAGCAATAGTTGCCGAGAGAGAAAAGTGAAGCATTAAAAATTCCTTTAATTGCATTCTGCTGTATTTGTGTGCTTGATAATAGCTAGTAATATTGTTTCAGAATACTTTAATGTAAGATTTTACCCCCCCCCATCATATTAGCCTTTGAAAAAATCCTTTGGCCTAATGTTTTTCTTCAGCAGGATTTAAATTTTGCTTATAGTACATGGCAGGGTGGTTTTTTATATTCCCTCAAGTATTACTGTGGAAAAGTATTCAGATCTTTGTGTTATGATACATAGGCAGGCAGGAAGCAGCTTAACTTCGGATTCTCTGGACAGGACTCTGCTGAGAGATGTGGTGCGTGAGCATGTTGATTTTATTGTTATCTTGTAACAACAACCCGATGTTGGACTCCCTTATTTGCATTCCTAGCAGGACGGCAAGGTGAATAATTTAATTCCAGCAGCCTCTGCCACGTGATGGTGCAAGGACCCATCAGCGATGCCTCCCCTGCACCGACAAACTTTGAGGAATGGAAACTTACAGAAGTGATGCGAAATCGTCGCATGTCCTCCCTTAACCCTGGAGAAATCTCTCGGCGGAGTGATCGCTTCATCCTTTTCTTTTCCACGCGTTCCTCTGACGTGGAGTTTGGGGGGTGTGTGTGAGCCTGCGAGCAAGACGAGCGAGGGAGTGGGAAGCGGGGAGGGCAGCGGGGGAAAAACGCACACCCAGCCACAGAGCTCGTAGGAACAGGAACAGCGAGGAGCCGGAGCGAGGCCGGGAGTCCAACCGCAGGCAGCGGGGAGTGGAAATTTACAGCTGCTTGTGAGCGCCTGTGCATGTCCGAGTGATCCCTTCTGCTCACGCTTTTTCAGAGGCTGACGGTCGCTCTGCAAAAGAAGAGCGGGAGGCCGAGTCGTGGGATCCCTGGTCTCTGCCACGTGTGGATAATCGGCGGGGGGGAATAAAGCGGAATTAAATGGGAGATCACTGAAAGCGGCTGCTGGCGGCGTGGGCTGCAGGGAGACGGCAGAGCTGTCTTCAGCACCTGGCCATGGGGCTGCACAGGGCTGCCTAAGAGCCCCACCTTTCCACTCACAGTAAGTGTCAGCCGAGGTGATGTCCTTCGAGTGAAGGAAAGTTAAATGATTTATTGAAACTTTTTTTTTTCTTTTTTTTTTTTTTTCCTGTCAGCACCAGCCTTTTGGTAATAAACTGCTTGCCTGCTTGTTCTCGGTAGTTACGCTGGTAGCTTTTTATAGCTTTGTAAACTGTGTTACCAGGAGTGGCTCTTTAATGCAGGCAACCCTAAACAATACTCCTTCTGTTACATAAGGCGCTGGCTCTGCGACCAAGCACTCCGTGTCCATGGAATATCTCTGGAAATGGCTTTATTTACAGTGTGGTTTCCAAAAATAAAATATCTGCAATATATCATTTTTTTTGCTCCTCTCCACTGACTGCCTGCAGCTGCGGACTGGCTCTTGAGATGCGGAGGAATGGGAGCGTGGCCACTTGCATAAGACAGGGGGAACAGAGATGAAGGGAAGATGGGCGTGCGTGTGAACTGCCAGGAGAAACGGCATATGTAAATTAACCATCTCGGTATTTATAGTTGATAGGTCTTGTCGACCTGAAATGCTAATGCTGTGCAATGGGTGATTCATGAAGTCTTTATCAGGCAGAACTTTAATTGAGCTTAAGGGAAGTTTGGTTTTGTTTTTTTTTTTTCCAGAGAAAAGACTCTTTCTTGGGCTAATATTAGTAGTAACGTGAAATTACTACTATAGAAAATTATTTTAATGTGTTATGAAGCTATTGAAAGTAATACAGCAGAGTTGCTAGAAATGTGGTCAAGTAAATGCTGTGTAGAGAGGTAACTTTAGTAATATTGGACAAAAAGCAAAAAATAGTATTCGTGTTCCTCACTAATGAGTTTAGAGGAAGTCCTATTCCCTCTTGGCTGCTGCCTGCGTTATTTAAATTATGTTACCAGTTTCCATTATTTCTGCGGTTATTATTCCTACTAGAAATGGATATTTAACTTGGTTTCCCTTTTACTTAAGTAAATTAAAAGCTGTTAAGGGCTCTTCTGTTAGAATTGTGTGTACTTCAGAGACATTAGTTAAAAGACCTCCTTCTGCTTATTTGGGCTTGTGGGAGTTTTGCTATGGATTACAGTTAGGTATGGAATTGAATCCTTAATCTTTTAGGTTTGAAAGACCTCTGGTGACAAATGCACATTGGGATCCCAAATATTCTTGACTCATCAATCCTGCGAATTTGGTGGCTGTAAAATCACTGATTTCCTATCTTTATAGTTTTATTGAACATAAGGTAATAACCTATTATTTCTTGCCAGTTCATTAACATGAATGGGAGAGCCTGTGTAATCCTGTGATACAGAGATAATTGATGCTGGTGTGAGTATGGTGCCACTGGTTGCCACTTCTGCATGGGTTTAGAATCTGAATGTTACCTGGCATTGCAGTGTGCAAATGCTGTTTTATAATTTTATTATAATAACAATAGGTTTGGTAGCACAGGATTTCCAATAAAAGGACACTAAGTAGCAAAGTCAAACACCCAAAATGTTCCTAACTTCAGTTCTGGTGTTTGCCTGTACCTGTGCCATATAGTCTCTATACCCTACTCAGGGTAGATTTAGATTAGATATTAACAATAAATTTTTTACAATGAGGGTGGTGAGACACTGGCACAGGTTGTCCAGAGAAGTTGTGGATGCCTCATCCCTGGAAGTGTTCAAGGCTAGGCAACCTGCTCTGTTGGAAGGTGTCCTGGCCCATGGCAGAGGCGTTGGAACTAGATGATCTTTAAGGTCCCTTCTAACCCTGGAACCATTCTATGATTAGTATTTTGTTTGTATTATCACATTAATTCTGATCATTGCTGCCTCATTCTGGGTTTGTTTGGTGAACACCTGAGCTATATCATCTGCTCCAGCAGCCCTGTCTCTGTACCCTCCTTCCATCCCCTTCTTCCCCTCTTGTACTGGTACAGCCCTAGACTGTGGGCAGAACTAGACTGGAAACCTGTGTGACATATTTTCCCCACCAAGCTATTTTTTGTTAACCTGGATCACTTCCCTGACCTGGTTCACCATGTGGTCCTGCAAACAGCTGTATCACCCCAACAGAGTCTGTAGGGATGTGAGTAGATGTGGAGCGGGGTGTCACCATCATGACAAGTGTTTATCGAACTGTTGCCTCAGTGACCAGCTTGCTATTTGGTGTTTCATTTTATCCTCCGTGTTTGCTGACAGACTACATAGAATTTTCGGGTTTTATTAAATAGGCATTCAAGCACTTGATTACAAACAGAATAAATAATTTCTTTGAGTGCTTCACCACAGCACTTGAGTGGAGCATCACCATGAGTGCCTTCAGTTTCATAATAGTATTAAACAACTATGTGATAATATTATTCTTATTCTGTAGAGGTGATCAGATTAAGGGCAGAGCTGCCTACTTCTTTTCCATATCTGATCTTCAGGTTGCATACCATCTGCTAAAAAAGACATTTGTAGTGATAGTAGGCATTACTGCAATGTTTTGTGGGTTCAGGTGAAGTTTCAGCCAATATCCACCTTCATTCCAGATAATGCAACAAGTAGCCAACAGCAAAGCTTATTGATGAGTAAATTCTTGAGTTTTTGGAATAATTTTGTTGCCAAGCAGGGTTGGTGTTCATTCACCCTAACCCTAAAACTGTCCTCTCTTCTGTTAATCTTTTGTCTCATTTGTGATGTACCTCATTGAGGATTTGCAGAGAAGTTAATTGTTGTGTAGCCCTGATTCCTTCTGCATATTAAATACAACACGGGTCATGTGAGGGGACTGCACTGGGGAGGATGAATTGGGCTTCTCCAATTGATCATCACACATGGGGGCTTCCATCCTCTGATTTGAGTACATTACTCTGTAAGTGCAACAGCTTTCCCAAATATGGCAGGAGGGATAAATGAGGAGAGATTAAAGTGCCTCTTCCATGATATAGAAACTGAATTAGCCAAATTGATAAAGAAAGTGTACTAACTCAGGCCCCAAATATATGAGTCTTAGACACACTGCAGTCAATGAAAAATGAAGGTCTTTTCTTCCATTCAAGAAATTCTCATATGGTATGAGTTATTGAAATGTTTTGATTCTGTTCAATAAGTTGATGAAGACAAGATGAATGTCTGATACTTGATGGGAAGGAAATCTTTTAGCTCGTTTATTTTGGAAAAACCAAATTGTTTGTCCAGAGCAGTGTCTGCAGAGAGTGCGTGGATGGGCTCACATGCTCTCTCCCATTCTTGCCTTCATGGACAGGAAGAAGCATTTGTTACAGAGCTGCTTTACCGAGTCGCTTCGTAGTGGGATGGGCTGCTTAGTAGAATGATATTGCTGCGTGTGTTTTTCCTTCGTTGTGCTTAGAGGTTCAACTGCACTATAGTCTTCGGAGGAAGTATATGATTAAAAGCAAAGAAATTAGGGAGAGTGCCTATAAGCAGAACTAGATCTCTTACTGTACTTTATAGCTGTATTAAATTATTTTTTTTTAGTACTTTCTCTTTATGAGCAGATAAACTGGCAGAAGAGATATTTTGAGGACTGATAAAGCATAGGCTCTGTTGTCAAATGATCTAGGTTGCATTCCTGACACAGCCACTGATTTTTTTTAATATGGCCTTGGGTAAATTTTCTAATCTTTCTGTGCTTCAGTTTCTCCCTTTGCAGAGGGGGCAGAGTAAAAGGAGGTATATAGGTTTTGTGAAATCTTAGTTAAATGTTTGTAGAGTTGGAGGCCTCTGAGGGAAGGCATGCCCTGAGTATGAAGGCATGTTATGTTACCTTTGACAGGCTACCAAATACCCTAAAAGTCATGTCTTGTAAAGCACATTCATCTCAGGGTTCAATTTGCTGCTTTAGTCTGTGTGATTTTCTTTCTCCCTTTTTTTCTGACTCAAACAGAAATAGCCAGACATTTAGAAAGTGGTGCTTTAATACTTTCTTTTGGTGCTTCTTAACTTACCTAAAATAAAATCAGTGCCATTTTTTTTCCTCCTGAACAAACACAGAATGACATTCCCTTAAAGTATTTTTCTAAAAGTAGAGTTCCTGAAATGTGCTGGACACTCCAGCTCTGGCGGCTGAAATGTCATGTTCATGCTGATGGCAACAGCAGGCTTTGGAAACCACTGTTCCTCCTACAGTGCTGCTGGGACATTTTCCTCATGACTGGGAGAGACAATCTCTGAAGCCAGAAGAGTTGGTCCAGTGAGATACAGCTGTTTCCTTTGGTCTCATAAGCTACTCACAAGAGCACCAGTGAAATAACATCATCAGAACTAAATGTTTCAGAAGTTGGCTGGCCCCCCATTATGAATTCAGGACTGCCCACAATCCATTTCTGATGTTACAAAAACATATGTTGAATAACCATTAGATGGAAATAATTTTTCTAGAGAGTAGGAAAAGAAAGGGGCTCATTCAGCCCTGTCCCTTGCTGCCAGACAGCAGTGTCAAAAATCCATGAATCAAGCTCTGTAATGTGGCTGGTTCAAAACCTCAAAGCTCCAGTGGGTAGAAACCTTTACATTTTCAGCTGAAGTTTATTCATCAACAGTTTATAGCCATTTGCTTCTGCATAAATAAAGTTTTATTGTTATTTGAGCTAAAATAACTTCTTCGGCTTCCCTGTATTTTATTCTAAGCTTACTAGGGGAGCACTTTCAGCCTTCTAGACAGGCTGGTCTTCCGTTTTTCTGGTCAGCCTAGGGCCCTTCTCTCCACCCACTCTAATCTCTGTTGATTTTACTTGACTGCAGGTGTTCAGGATTGTGTACAATGTTCTGTACAATGTTCTTTCAAGACTGTACAGAGACATAAATACCTTTGTATTTCTGTTGACAATTACTTCCTTAATTCATCACAGATTTGCATCTGTTTTTCTCCTGTCTGTAAAATACTGTGTGTATTTGTATATGTCACCAGCTGCCTGTTTTTGTCATTTCTCATGGTAAGTCCTCAGCTTGAAGCAGATAATCATAGAATGATTTTGTTTGGAAGGGACCTTTGAAGGTCATCTAGTCCAATTCCCCCTGCCATGGGCTAGGATGTCTTCAACTAGAACAGGTTGCTCAGAACCCCGTCCAATCTAATCTTGAATGTTTCCAGGTATCTGGAACATCTACAAATCCTGTTTCTTCTACCATTTAGCATCATCTGATAGTTTCTACTCTTAACTTTTATCCCATTTTTATTTTCTCAGTTCTTCACACAATCCAGTTTCTAATGATATTCCAATCCTCTTATGTGTTGATAATATCTTTCTATTTTGAGTCTCCACAATTTTTGTGTAGGCTCTTAATTCCTATGCCTATCTAAGTACAGTCCTGTCCCCAAATTGCTGTTACCTTCTCAGTCAGATGACATGATAATTTCCTTTCAAGTAATTTATTTTGTACTATATTCAAATTAGTGTATTTCCATGTTGGACACATGGATTCTACTGTGTCTTCTCTGCTTAAAAATATATTCATAAGGAACTGTAGTATGAGCTACCTTTAGTAAGCCTGTATTACATTCTTTTCACTTGTCATTCATCTTTGGTTTTCAGTTATTTTTAGAGTGGTTTCTTGAGAAAATGAAGCTTACATGGTGACACTGTCTATCTCTCACCCTAATTCTCTTCCCGTTGTAGCTTTTGAACTTACTGTCAAATTTCAGGCTACCTTGACAGAGAGCTAGATGCCTGGCAAATACCAAGTTCCAAAAAATGGACTGAAAATAAGTGATGAAAAGAATAGGGCCTTTAAACCAAGTTAGTGCCTCTACTGAAGAGAAGACCTTCCAAGTAAAAGCTTAGAGAGCAGACAGCTGATACAAGGAGGAGGACAGGACAGAAATGCCCCACTGTGTTAAGAGCTTTAGCACGAGCTTGTGCTTTCAAGCCAGTCATGAGGAGCAAATCTGGAGGAGAGGAGTCCTTGTTTTGCCACATGCCTTGTGGAATAGCCAGCCATAAGACTAAGGAGTACAACTCCCAAATCTCATCAAAGTGACTTTACCCCCATTTGCTTCCACTTGTAATTGTGATTAGCGGGTGTCCTCGTAGAAGATTCCTGCATGAAGAATCAAAAGGGATCATAACCTGCAGCTGCCAGTATGTATTTTCTGAAGTGATGGATCATCTGTTGCCAGGTGATGATGAGTTAAAAACTGTAATGTAAGAATCTGTGGTTAGGATAATGGTAGAGTATGAAGTGAAGAGAAATGTATTTTATCACTGAACGGTGCTGTGGTGACTTGGTGCCAAGACAGAAACTATATAGTCAAAAAGTGCTAGCCTTTGTTCCTAACTAATCTTGTAGTTTTATGGAAAAATTAATGATTATTTTAAATACAGACACTCTAGACAGTTATGTAAGTATTTTTTGGGATGAAAATATGTTTATAGTCAACATTTCAGTTAGAAATGTGAACTTCATTTTTTAAAAATCTCAGAACCTCTAGCTGAGGAGTACTTCATTTTAAAAATCAAATTATGTCCCCCTTTGCTTTTCTTTGTGTGGAGTCTTCTGAAAGGGAAAGATGAAGGGAAGACTTAAGCATTCTGGTTATACCTACCTGTGGCAGTTTGAGCCACATTAGAAAATCCAAAATCCAGTTTCCAGGCTTCCCCTCACCCCTTCCCACAATTTATCCCAACACCGGAGAGAAACTTTCAGGCCAGAGGCTTCTATAGGGGAAGGGGGAAGTATTTACATTTATTTTACACAAATAAATACTATACAAACTAAAGGCAACTATATATATATATTACATTTCTATCAGTCCTTTTAAACCCTTCCCTTTAACTTTAGTCCAGGAAGAGCCTTTCAAGGCTGCTGGGTAACGCAGTCTCTCTCTCGTGGGAGTGTTCTGGGCCCCTGAATACTCCCTAACCAACCTTCAGCTGTTTGCTGCAGTCTTTCTCCTCACGAAGTCCAAGAAAGTAGCTTTGAGTCTTTTCTCCTCGGTCTGCTGTGTGATCTCTCTTTCTCAGTCTCATACCTCGGTTCGCTGTTGCTGTAGTGTAGCTTATCACAGTAGGCGTTTGGAATCTTTGTTCCTCCAAGTCAGTTTTCGGCTGCCCCTGGGCAGCTTCGGCAGGGCAACTCCCGAGTCTCTCTCTCTCTCTCTGGCCCGTCTCCAATTTCGCCTGGGATTCTTCTCCCAAGTGCTGAGCTGTTTTATTATCAGCCCGTCCACTTGGCTCTGCTTCAAATGCTGAGCCTCTCCTCCACTTTACAGCGGAGGGAAAGAAAAGGCCCCCCTCCACAGCTTAACTGCAGAAAGCGGGGGGAAGAGGGCTTGGCTGCAAGGCGTGCCTCTCTCCTCTTACCTCAGGTGCTGTGAGTTGTGTTCCTCACAAACACTCACTCACTCACTCCAATGCTGCCTCTAACTCTGGTCTAGGCAGAGTTGGGGGCCGCAGGGCTCCCCTCTCCCCCCGGAGGGGGCAAAGAAGGAGCCTAGCCACCCCCTGGCCTTCTCCACCTACACACAGCAGACACCACCACCAAAAAACTGCCAGCAGCTTCTGGTGCTGTGTATATATGATTTTTAGCAGAAGCGAACAAGACGAGTGGTGACTGGCTCTCCAGGGAACACTGCCCTGGCACCCAGTCACCTCTGAGCCCCCGACTCCCGGGGGGGCCATCTCAAACCATGACACTACCCCAACCTGGATGAAAATACTTCTTTTCTGAAATGCATCTCTCTTGCTTTCAGACTCTCTCTGTTGCATCATCACATCCTCATCCTGTGTCTTCAGGGATAATAAAAACATGCAGGTCCTTCTCAAAGTATGTTGTGAATTATTAATCTTCTATTTGCAGCACACATGGGATTACCGCATGCTTGACACTCGCTAGCAGCGTTTAAGCACCTTTATTGTATACTATTGGCATCCCAATCTTTTCCAGTGCTTGTATGTAGCTGAACATGCCCAAAAGAGTGAGTCGTTAGGGTACCCAGTCTTTAATCTTGTACTTTGTCAGGTTATGTGACTTTGCTCTGTTGCAAGTTGGCTGGTGGTGCCAAAGCTTGGAGTTGTGAGCTGCATGGGAGCAGGGCTCTGCAGCTGAGAGTGAAGGTTATGTAGCAAAAACTGCAGAAATAAAAATGGACTGTGAGGAGCTTGAAAATGGAAAGCTGAAAGTGGTGAGGTTTCAGACATTAAACATGAAAATATCCCTGTAAAACTGACCTAGCAACAAATGAGAAGCTATATACAAATTCGCCTACTGTGGTCACTATAAAAGAAATTTTGGGTTAAATAAGACACTTAAAAATATTTCCTTCATGTCATAGAAACTGTAAAGATAATCTGCAGAAATGTTTTGAAATGTTTTAATAAGATGTTAAGACAGAATCTGTATAAATTTGTTTTTTTAAAGTCAGAATTTTGTACTTCGCTGTTTTATATGATTGCTATTTATAGTTGCAATAGAATGCATGTCTAATCTAGGTATTAATTCCATAGGATATTTGGGGATTACTAACACATGGATGTATGGCACAAATGGCATCATATTTCCTGATGGAATCTGTAGCATGTCAGTAATAACAACAAAGCATGAGAGGAGTGGATTCTTTGGGACCACTTGGTTTTCTTCTTTATGCTGTGTGTATTGTGCTCATTTAATTCTCTCCTTTAAAACCTCTTGTATAAAGCTTTTTTGTAATTGTAAAAGTTGAAGAATAATGAGATTGAAGTGATTTGTGTATATATTTATGTTTTCACAACAAATTTTGCAAGTGTGTGTGTGGAAGGATTGTGACGGTTTTGTTTTATTGTGGAAAGAGATGAAAGTTTGAGATTATTTTTGCTGCTTTTTTTTTTTAACCTCTTTTTCGTTACTGTACAAACTGGAATGCAGTCCAGAATAGTGCTCTCCCTGGAAAGTGGTACAGCTTTAACCAGAACATATTCCCGTCTATAGTCAGTCAGTCATTGACTTCAGTAGATCTTTATATTAGACCCTCAGCAAAACCCATAAGAATTCACAACTTAATGCTTTGTAAGATGAGAAACTAATCTAGTTGGTTTCTTTCATATATAAATACAGTGATGTGGTATTTGCCTTTCTAACCATACAGAGAAAGAATGTTTTAAATTAAACAAACAAATAATTTTCATTAAAATGCTCAGTCTTCCGTTTAAATGTCATGAAAACATTTGTGTTCGTATTTGGACCTGATTGTCTCTTCCTTATTTAATTCAGCCAATGTTTTACACAAATGAGATCTGACCCACAGATTCTTGAAGTCTGTCAGACTTAGGAGATAGCTTAAACTGCTTCCTCCCAAGAAGCTTTAGGCTGAAAAAGAAAAGAAACTGAAGAAGAAGAAGAGATGGCAGAGAATCTGGGACCTTAACTTGCAGTGCCTTAAACGAAGGATGCGTTTGGTGTGCTGGCATTTACAGTTGCTTATCTGCATCATGATGGAGCTAGTGTAGTCTGACAGAAACCCTTATGAGAATTCTAGAGGAGCCTGCCAGATACACGGTATCCAAAATATGTTGGACGTAGACATAGACTAGCTGAAGTGCTGACTGTGTAGATCGGGTCTTTAGGAAGCATCCAGCTCCTGTGCAGGTGCTGAGTAGTTGCTTTCCACATGCTAATGGTGGCTTGAGAATCCTGGATGAACTTGCAATAACTGTACATGAGAACTTTTTACTGCTTCACTGAGCTGCTGAAACAAAATGTAGTGCCTGAGGCATACTTTTCTTGTTCATAATGTTTTTGTGTGTTTTTATTGCGTTTTTGTATAAACCTTAAAACCTGTTTTTATTTCTTGTTCAATTTAAGGCAGTCCTCTTCTGTCCTGAAGGAAGAAATCCAGGTGAAGAAAGACCATGCCTTTGTTTAGTAAATCACACAAAAATCCTGCTGAGATTGTGAAAGTTCTGAAAGAAAACATGGCCATATTGGAAAAACAAGAAAAAAGGACAGACAAGGTATGAGAGGATGTTGTAGAAGACCAATAAGGTTTTTATGCTGGGGGAGCAGTAGAATAAAGGGAACAAAATTGTGTTTGCTCACTGCCCTGATTCTGCAGGTGCTTGCCTGTGTAAGTAGCTGAGTGTTGAAATGGTTCTGCTGAGATCAGGAGTCTTTTGCGTAGGTAAAATACAACAGATCCAGGGGCCAAACCAAAAATGCTGACATCCAGGAGCCTCAGTCAAACAAAGGATGATCTCCCACTACTTCAAACAGTAATGCATCTAACAAAACATCTTGGAAGGCTATTTGAAAACTATTATACTATTAATTTTTTTAGCAGGATAACAAATGAGACTGTCAATTAATGTGTAGATACCCACAGAGCAACACTTACTTCTGATGAGCATTGTTCACATAAAACAGCAAACCTGTATGTATCCAGAGGAGATTTCACTGTGTTGATCCTTTACACTGTTCTAGGTGCTAGTGCTTCCTAAATGAGCTGTGCTACTCATATTCTAATTATAGTGCTAGGCTTTTGCTAATATTACTGCTCTCTTCTAATTCTGTGACACAGACCCGAATTACTTTTGCCACTTTTCCAGTGACCACCTGAGAAGATGCTCCCCAACATAAAAAATGCTCCCAATTAGACATTTGTGCTTGCATAAAATCAAATAATTTTGTTTTCTTTTTTGCATCTGAGTATATGATTTTAATTAACAACGAACTAATTTTAAGTTAAAACTGAATGTCAATGGAAACAGAAATAGCTGATAAGTTATATTAGTAGAGTTTTCATGGAGCTGATTTTTGCATGTGTGCATGGAGCCCTTTGCACCCTTAGTGAAATCCTCTTGAAACTTTTTGGTTCAAAGGAAGTAGCTCAGTGTGTTAATTATGTAAGATTGGTCACACGGATTTCTGAGAGGCCTCCGGTATTTGATGTCTCATGCTGAAATACCTTCGGTTAACTGAAAAGCACTGAGAGAATTTGACTCAACTAAAACATAAGTAACTAAATAAACCAACAGAATCTGTTCTCCCCTGCTGAATTCATCTTTTGGAGCCTGATTAAAGAAGACATTCAAAGCAGAAGCTCTAGACTCGGATTTCTTTTCGATTTGCCTTGCAGCATGACTCCTCTGGGTTGTGGTTTTGAGAATTTTTGGCTTTGAGCTGGTTTGTTTATTTGTGTGTCAGTGACAAAGGAGAAGAAATTCAGACTTCTTAGAAAATCAAGAACTTCATGTAAATCTTTCATAAAAGTCAGAACAGCTGGTGTGTGTTTTCCGCACAGAACAAAAGATACGGGAGTGTTTCCTTGGCATATTAGAATGGAAACAGCTCGTGAACTTAATGATGCTTATTTTACAGGAGGAGGTTGGTTTTCAGTTATTTTTTATGTCCTTCATTGCTATGGGGTAGAGGCTGTTCCTGGAGAGAGGAGGGAGTGGGACAGGCAGTCCCTTCAGCAGCAAGGCAGAAGGTGAAGAAAGCAGCCTTTTTTTGTGGGTATATGGTTTATATGGCTTGTTGACTCAGAACTTTGTGCTGTGATGTAGAAGAAACACATAGGGCCTCCCTCCTTTCAGGAGGAAAGATGTGAGACTCCCTGGTAATGCTGCCTTTCATCTAGAGTGTGCACTGAACTGTTCTGAAATAAATACCTTTTAAAGAAAATAGCCAAATTTGTTCTCCTGAGTTTAGGGAAGTAAATTGTAAGGAATATCTTTAGTACTGTGACGATGATAAACTTTAAAAAATGGCAGGGAAAACAATCCCCCCAATCGCATCTGCTACTATCCATTCAGATTTGTGGACTTAGTAATACCATTTTTAAGTGTTGTTTGAAATTTGAATTGGAGAAGAACAGATGATGGAGACACTTTCAATGGCACAAAGGTTCTCAAAAGTTAGTAAAAGTTAGTTACTTATTAGAGTAACATGTTTTCATGAGTATGATTAGAGAAATTTAACTGAAAACAAAAGCAAAGAAAAACAAAGTACAGTGCTGTACACTGTGCTCCTCAAAACTTGGTAAGATTTTTAAATTTACCTCCAGTTTGATTTCCAAATGGAGAAGAAACGTGTCAAACTTTCATGAAAAGCTCCAGAGGTCTGGCTCCTTCAAGAGTCAGAAACTCTGGATATCTCAGAGCTGGTTTTGGACCCGGTAGCCCTGTGAACACAGAAGTTTGGAAAGCAGAAATCTGAAGTTTTTCAGATTTCTGACTCCTTGTCTGCTGTGAGAACTAGAGGGGTAGTGTTGTGCCTCACCAGAAAACCAAGGTTCCCAGAACTTCCAGGGTATGACTCCAGAGAATCCCTGATTTTACATGCAGAATAGTTTCAAACTAGGTCTTACTTCAGATACTTAAACAAGAAGATTTATCCTGTGACAATTGAGCTGTTATTGTAGTACAGCCAATATGGTATGTGGGTTGAGACAGCTAAAAGCTGCTAATACAGCCGGAATTGGCAGGGAAGTGTGGCAAAGCTTGAATTAACTGCAGGGGTAGCAGAGAACCTCCTTGATTCTTTACCCAGTTGAGAAGTCATAAGTATGAGGTGAAGGTGCCCTGGGCAGCTGGGAGCGCACAAGGTCAGACAGGGAGAAGCTTGATGCTTCTCATACAACTTCGTGAAACTGTCAGCAGGAACCATCTATGTCTTGGAGGGGATGTTTTTAAATAATGCAGAAATGATCATTCCTACCAAGCTATGCAGGATGCAGGTAGAGGGAACTTTACAGCAGAGCAGTTGAGACTTCAGGGTAATGGGGAGAGGGTGGAGGACAGAGCTTGATAGATAGGATCAAGAGAAGATAGGATAGAGAAGCCACTTGTAAATGCAAAGGAAATGATACATCTTTTCTGTGGCATTTCCATGTACACACATAATATAGGAAAGTTTATACTCTTTCTTCATGATGCTTTTTGTTAGTCATAGAGTAGTACCCATTCAGGCTTTAAGTACTGTTGACTGAGCTAGCATCTGTCTTCTTAGATAAGGATTGAATTTGACCCAGTTTCTCCATGTGTCTTATTTTTTTTAAGCTATTAATGTGTGTAGTGTTGCCATAATGCTTTTTAATGCTTTTTAAACACTCCCAACTGAAAAATATGCTAAGTTTGAATGTGTGGTTCTTACTTTTATGTGTGGGTTTCTTTGTGTACTTGCATGGATGTGTGTGTGCTTAAAGCTTTGCCATTTTCCCAGCTACATTCTCATGGTTGATAGACCACAGGCTGAGAAGTGCCAGCACACGTGGCTCCTTTTTCTCTGAAGTGCTCTTTCTAATATCTTGGGTTTATAATTTTTTTTAAATAACATCTATTTTAAAGCAGGCATTGTAGCACTGGCAAATCTAATGTAACAATTGGGAGATTAAGTAGGGTAAGACAGAGCTGAAAAAGTGGACTACAGCCTTCTTTATCAACCATCCTCTTCTCTTCCAAGATCCGAAATAAAATAAAATGTTATTGGAGCATGTATGATTGCTGACATCTTGTTCAGGCTTTGATGTGGTGAGGAATAATTAATTAAGTTTTATTACAAAATTCTATAAATGTCATAAAAATTTTAATCTCAGTCATGTAGGACCAAAATGTTCTTGAATTTAATAAAAAAAGCCCATTCTGGAATTAGCTAGAAAAGCAGGGAAGTATTTAAATATCTAAGAAAGGAAGCCTTCAGCGCTTAGACTCTCGTCCTTCTTTCTGGCGCGAATCCTGTAGCATTCGGAGGATGCATGTAAATAGGGATGAGGAGAGGAGAAACCCTGATATCAAGTGCTCAGATCTGTTGAACCTGAGGAAGAAGGGACAGCTTGTGACACGCTGGTCACAGTGCTTCGTTTATTACTGATATGTTGCCATGTCTTCTGTTGATTGATGTTGTAAAAGATCATTAATAAAAAGGATGCCTGATCCACCTCACAAAAAGGAGGGGTATGACATCCTGACTTCTCCAAGTCTTGTGTTCAGCTGCTGAGTCCAGTCGGCACAAAGCAGTGCAGGTGGCATCCAGTATGTCACTGAAGAATGTCCTTGAACACATCACCCTCTTCCTGCTAACCACACACCTTCGGGTGCGGCAGCCTGACTCAGTGCCATCTGTGGTGCCTACAGGTTTGGTAACATTTTCTGAACTTGCCTTGCAGCAAAAGCCTTTCAAGTGTCACAGGCTTTTAATTTAGTGCAGCAAACGGATCTGAGATTGGTTGAAACTCAGTCTAATCTTTGCAGGTAGTCTAGATGGGCCAGAAGATTTGCAGTTTCTGGTGTGGCTGATCCAAGATTAAGGGTTTATTGCGGAAAATGAACCCAAATGCATTACAGCAGGTTCAGGGTGCTGGGCTGAGTGTTTTCCTAGCAGGCAGAACTGCAGGCTGTAGCACCTTTATCAGTGTTCAGAAACAGAGTGAAGTTAGATGTACAATAACCTGCAGTGTCTAGCTTCTGCCCCTTTCACTTAAATATATCTAACAAGAGTGCTTGTTTAGGTAGGTCACTGTAATCTGTCCTCTGTTTGACCTCTGTGTGCTGTAACAAATTTGGTACTGTTCAGAAGCATCAGGAGAACAGCATTTTATTAAGGCTACATTTAAAAGACTTCAAGATTTCTGGAACAAATATTTCTATCAATAAATCCTGCTTTTTTACATAGCAACAATGAAGCCATTATAGGCTCTTGTTCACCTCGCTCGCTGCTGCGTTGATAAAGCATCTGGGGACTGGTGTGTGAGGTGAGGTGCATGCGGAGGACGTGATGTGCATTTGCATGGAAGAACAGTTGCGTGACTGCTGTGAATGTGAATACCTGTGGATGCAATTCTTCAGCTGCCAAAGTCAGTTGCAAAATTGCCTTCAACTTCATTGCTGCAGACTGAAACCGAGGGAATGAGATAAGAAGGGCTTGGCACCCCTTCTTCCTTGCTCTGTGTGTCCTGGGGTTTTGTGGAGTGTTTCATGTTTCAGCTTCCCTGTTCTGCTAAGGCCTGTTGTTGCTC